GGCCTCGCCCCATCTCGGGGGACCAGCACTGGCCGTTCCTTCAAGGGCCGCCATCTCGGCCTCGCCGCCTAGGATCACCAGATCGGTTCGACGATACCCAGGTATCTGGCACCGACGCCGACGCCATGTGGCTGAAGCCGATTCCAGCGCGCCGGCCAGCTAAGCCAGCTTTCGCGGCTTCTTCAGCCTGCGATTCTTGCGGCCCGCCGTCTGCTTCTGCTCTATCCGTAGTTCTCCTTGTCGGTCCACTCTGCTTACTTTCTTTCCCCGCCTTCTGGTCCAAGTTAGCTCATGGCACCCTCCACCTCACAAAGTCTCGCCTACTCACTGCCCCTCCCCGCTACTGGAGGCCCGAAGTGGTCTCTGCTCTGAATGCTGGGTGGGGGTTCCGACCTTGCATGCCCTGTCGCCGCGCGCAGGGCCGCGACGCCAACAAACGTGCGTGCGTGCGTGCGTGCGTTTGTGCGTGTATGCGCGCGTGCGTGCGTGCGTGCTTGCAAGCGTTCGTGCGTGCGTGCGTGCGTGCGTGCAAGAGTGCGTGCGTGCGTGCGTGCGTTTGTGCGTGCGCGCGCGTATGTGTGTGTGTGTGTGTGTATGTGTGTGCGTAAGTGTATGTGTGTGTGTGTGTGTGCGTGTATGTGTGTATGTGAATGTGTGTGTGTGTGTGTGTGTCGCAGGCTTGCTGTCAGTCCCTGGCCGCTGTGTGTGTGTGTGTGTGTGTCGCAGGCTTGTCCCTGGCCGCAGGTGGAACCAGTGAAAGCTTGTAGAAGACGTTCACATCACTGAGGCCTGACCCAGAGGACCAGCCCAAAAGGCGAGTCAAATTCATATTTCGCATCTGAGAGCCTCCAAAACTCAAAACACGACAAGAAGAGCGAGAACCAGCAGACACCAATCACCCCCAGCCCGCTCCGCATCGCACGGATAACGGGGGCCATGGGTCTTCCCGCATCGCTCGGATGACGGGGTGTTACCTCTCGCCATCAAGGTGGTTGCATGTGAGCGGTCTGCCAGGCGGTCTCGATGGCCTTGACCAGGTCCAGCTCGAGAGAGAACAACGAATACATATTCATCACCGCTTCCGCCACGAGGAGGGGGATGCTTCCTGGCCGCGTCCCCAGCAGCGCAGCCAGCGGAACCGCCTGCGTGCGAAGTGAAGGCCGCCAGGGCCTCCAAGGCCGCCGCGTGAGCATCGACCCTCGTCCCCGTCGCCTTGGCACTCCCCCTTCGCCGCCGAGCCCGGCTCCGGGCGACTTAGAACTAGGGAATGCGCCATCTGGGCAAGCGCCGCCACCGGAGAGCCCAGCAGGAGGTGAGCCGCCCGAGCGAAGCTCAGGCGGGCGCGGCGGCGGATCGCACACCACTGGCCGCTTGTCCGACCAGGTGTCGTCGAGCTCGCTGGCGGCCCGCTCCGCCACGTTCAACTTCTGGGAGCCACCAGCAGCGGCAGCTTGGCACCGCCGGCGGCGCGCGCGGCAGCGCTTCCGCCGAGGTGCGGGGACGCCTCGACGCGGCGGCAGGACCGCCGACAGCAGAACGGGGAAGAGGAGGGGCGTCGGCTGGGGGCGTCGGCTGCGGGGCCCGCTGGAGAGGTTGACGAGCGCCGCTCTCAGCCAGGCCCGCCCACAGGCGTGTCGCTCCACGGGAAGCCCCAACACAGCGTGACCGCTGGCAGCGTGCGCCGCCAGGAGGGGCGCCGCGGGCAGCCTTGAGGGCGCCGCGGGCAGCCAACAAACGTGCGTGCGTGCGTGCGTGCGTGCGTGCGTGGACTGTGCAGGGCGCAGCGAGGAGAAGCAGGCTAAACCACTCACGAATAGATAAGGCCGAACCAGGAAATACCAGAACATACCAGATCAGAGGAGCAGGGGTCAACCCCGAATCCGCATTAGTGCTCCCTGCCGGCTGCGGGCACACAGGAACAGATAGGGGCAGGGTATGAGAGGAGGCATACCACACTGGGAGAGGAGGCAGGAAACAGAAGGGGAGGATGGAAACATCGATGGCAGGGATGCGAACGATTAAAAATACGAATACGAGCAGGAGAGGGAGGAAAAAGAGGAAGAGCAGCTTTAATCGCAGCATTCGCGCGAGTTCGCACCCATATGCTCGCCAACCATCAGGTAGGATCGACTGCTACTCCGAAAGAGACAGACAAAGCCAGGTCAGCACAAATGACACAGCGCCCCATCACAACGTACGTGATCAACAAACCAAATCACCCCAAGATAAACCAGTACACAGTAGACCACGGAAAGAACTAGCGATACACTGGTCGGCAGATGGGCCAGCAGAGACGCGCGAAGCGTTTGAAATCCATATTCGAATTGGTCGCGCGATGTTGACGCCCATGTTACTAAGATTACAGTCGAGGCTTGAATCAACGTGGCTACGCACGAAAGGTCGAGGAGGAGGAGGCGAAGGAGGAGCGGGATCAGGAGCAGCAGATGGAATATGAAAAGGAGGTGCAGGAGAGGGAAGGGCAGGAGAGCGGGCCTGACTGCGCTTCATCGGGTCGTCGACTCCTGAAGCTGGTGTCGCCAGGTACACATCCTCGTACGGAGTGTCGCCGGCCACCTCTGGGGTGGGTGTGCGAAGGAAGGGGGAGGAGGACCAGTAGCAGCAAGAGCAGGAGCAGCAAGACAAATGGCGAGGATTGCATTACTCGCCGGCCACCTCCAGGGGTTCTCCTCCTCCTCGTCCGTCGCCTTCTCTCCCTGCTCCGCATCGTCGTCATTGACGTCATCGCCGTACTCCTCCTTCTCCACCTCCTCCTCCTCCTCCTCATTATTCTCCTCCCGCTCCTCTTGGCATATCAGAAGCAGTTGCTATAGCACAGCGTGATCCTTCTTGATTGCATGAAAGGTTCGAACACGCTGTCGTGGGAGTGGGTGCAGGCTGTTTTCAAGAAAACGCGTTCACCCCCGCCACTTGCGCATGGCATTTTCCAATGTATACACACTCGCTCTTCCTACTTGTGCTTCTCCGGCCATGTTTTCCCGCCCACTACCTTCGCCGCTCGCCGCGGGATATAGCCAAGGCCATCCGTTGAGTGTGCTTGCGTACATAATCGCAATCGACCCTTTGTCATACCAAGCACGGCAAGTGCCCGGGGTCGCGGGTTTTGGGGGTCTCTGTGATGACTGGACCGGAACATCTCGTTCGCTGCTCAACAGGCTGCTGCACCAGTGGTGCAGCTGATCGCAGTTTTCGGGCAATCGTCTGGTCAAATGATCAGTCCTCGGAAAACAACTTGGCTACCACATCAGACGATGACGCTTGAAGAACGGGGTTGGTTGCAAGGTATCTTTCCTGAGCTCCAAATCGTCCGTTGCCCCAAATCGCTGGGTTTCTGGTTTGGCCCCGACGCTGTGGAAGCAGATCGTTTGTTGGAATATCTGGCAAACCTGAGGCAACGCCTGGCTCTGCTGCGACATACCCGCACCAGCTTGGCAACGAGACTGCGGCCTTTGAACGTTTTCGCTCGCCCTCTGTTGTCATACATCATGAAATTTCACGTGCTGAGTCTGGCGGTCAAGAAAAGAGATCTGTGAGATAGCGCTGTCATTCCTTGGAGCGCGTGCGTTGGTGCCCACTCCAAGTGTTCTGCCCTTCTCGGGGCGCGGTGGCAGCAGACGTGCTGGGCAGGCCTAGGCTTACCGGAATCTGTACTGTGATATGGACGCAGCCGAGGCACAGAGAGCAGAGCTTCTTGTACGCATGCGTCTCCAGGCCCAGGGCTTGATTCGGGACGCAACCCAGAATAGCTTGAGAACAATGCCGACAAGTATTCCAGGTGAGCACCGGATAGCTAATACGCGGAAGATGCTCAACGGAGAGCTCACGTCTCGCTGGCTGGCGCCGGTCCTTCGGCGACCAGTGTTGGCTTGTCCTTTGTGTCATTGTGAGGAAGGGGGTGCCTTGGGCTACTGCGATTCTTACCCAGCGTTGGCGCCATTCCAAGTACAGTTTCCAGAGCCTTTACCTGCAGTGCGCTCTCGCTGTCACCAGCGCGGTTTCCCGCTTGCGAAGGCTGTTGCTCGAGGGAACCAGTTTCTAACATTTTGATGACATGGTCCTACAAAAAATGTGCGCTGACCCGTGGATCACCGGGAGCCCTGTTAACTCTGACCAGCAGGATCGCTGACAGTTGAGATCTTGCCCGCTGGTCTTCGCACCCGACGCAGTTACGAACGCCTCAGACGCTGCAGCGTGCAAACAGGGCACTGGCTCTCCAACTTTAGCCAGCTCTGGGAGCGTTCGCTGCCAGCCAGGAGTGCGCCGCATAGCGGCCTGTTTGGGACGATTCCTGGGCGACGTCACGAACAATTATGCTGAATATGCGGGCCTTCTTCAATGTCTCCAGCACTCGTCCGAGTTTCCGGCTCCCCGGATTGCTTTCTATATGAACTCGCTTCTCGTTGCACGGCAAGTCCAAGGGGTATGGAGATGCTTGGAGCCCTCTCTGCGAGTGCTGTGCGAAGAGGCGCTGGGGAGTTTGGCGACCCTCTGGGCACAAAGCGGTGTCCTCGAGGTGAGAGTGCAACATGTTCATGGGGAGCACAACCCGATGCAGACAGCGTTGGCAATACAATGTTGAATAGAGTGATGGCCAGGATGCTGGCGTTAATTGATAATTGCCACGTGTCCGTGGGCTGGAGGCCGAAACTGAGGCACTTATGATTGAGCCCAGGCCGAATTAAGATACCAAGGCAGCAGGCATCGACCCATTCCTCCCGAGGTCCGAGGTCTGCCTACTGCCCCTGCCCCACCTCGTCTTCCGAGGCGGTGCGTGGCAATCAGGTTGGGCGCGCGAGCTCAGCCCTGCCTCTCAGAGGACGGCGGCCTCGTTAGTGCCGGGGAGCGGGCCCCGCGTTACGGTCCGAATGCACAGAGAAGACTGACAACACTTGATATGCTAGGAAGCTGGCCCCGTTCTACGGCCAGCACTTGATATACCTTTCCATATCACATATCCCGTGCTTTCAAGTCTGCAGGCGCTGAGGTACTGTCTGCAGGACAGCGCATGGATACAACATCCCCACATGCATGATGTGTCTTAGCCTGTCTTCGCCATTTCGTTTGTAGTCCGTCGAGTACAGACCAGAGGATGTATCAGTGTCACGTGGCTGCGAGAAGATGCGCTTGTATGCAAAATCATCATTCGCCTCCTCCCCTTCTACTCCTTCCCCTCCTCCTCCTCCTCTCCTCCTTCCACCTCATCCTCGTCCCTCCTTCCTCCCTCCATCGAAGCATTCCTCCTCGGGACTGCCCCCTGCGTAGAGCTGACGCGCAAACTGCAGCCGCGGGACGGGGAGCGGAGGAGGAGAGAAGGGAAAAGGGTAGTAGGGAGGGGAACGCGTAGAGAGGGAGGGGAGGCAAAGGAAGGGAAGGGGGGGAGAAGGGGAGGTGGGAGACACCCCCCCGACCGAGAAAAAACAACAGACCTGGGAACGCAGCAAACCGAGGACTAAACCAAACCAAGGGAAAACCCAAGCCGAAGAAACACCCAAACCGAGGAAAACCTGAAACGAGGAAAACACATAACGTGGCCTCCACAGAAAGAGAGACACAACAGACACTTTAACAACTGTGGCATTCTATCGGGATCCTGAGGAATCCGCAGGGAGCCTCAGAACATCTTTGGACTCCGCAGTTCCCGAGGATTCACAAGGAACCTTTGCATAATCCTTCCACATTCACTAGAATCCCACCAGCCTTCTGGGCGCAGGTGGTTTAACGAATGTCGCCTTCTCTCCGCTTAAAATCCGTCCATCCCCTGCTCGGGTGAAGCGCTTATCACTGTTCCCTATTAATATACACCCCCCTCCCCCAGGCGACCGGCGGCCAACCAGGAACCATGCGGGCATCCCCCCACCATCTTCGCTAACAAATCGATGCAGACCGCACTCTGCCTCCACATGTGTAGCCTGCGTTGCCAACCCGATGCGGCCCCCCCCACCATCCCTGTCGAGAACAATACAAAGCACACTGTGGGACAAACTTTTGAATCAGGTTCGAGAGGCCCGCGAGCACTTTGTATTGTTTTGAAAGGGACGGCGGGGGTGTCAGCAGATTGCCTGCTGTGCACAAGGCGACCATCCCTAACAACAAACAATACAAAATGTACCTCGCGGCTAAATCTGGATCATGCGCGGCCGCCCCGCGAACGCTGTCAAGGGCTTTGACAGGGACGGTCTTTGACAGGGCCGGCGGGGGTGGTGGCGTATGGCCCTTAGTGGGCCCTGGAAGCGACAAGGCTGTTTTTTTGCCGGTTCCGTTTTGCCGTTTGTTTGCCGGTTCCGACGCCGTTTTTGTTGCCGGTTCCGTCGCCGTTTTTTGACCGGTTCCGGCTCCGGTTCCAATCCTGGAGCCGTTTTTTTGCCGTTTGTTGCCGTTTCCATTTTCAAGGGGCACTTTTTTTGGAAACGGTGAAAAAACGGCCCTGCCGTTTCCGGGGCCCACTAAGGTGGCCTGCTGTGCGCAGGCCCACCAGACACAATGATGGGCATTGCTGTTCGACTAGGAGGATGGGAGCCGACATGGTTCCAGATGTGTGCTGTCACGTGCGCAGACGAACCCGCCACACTCTGCGCGTGCCCCGAAAGTGGCGCACCTGGCGCGGCTGGAGTATGCGGCACACCTGGCGCACGCGGAGCACGTGGCGCATCTGGCACACCAGGCGTGCCTGGCACGCTCGGGCCCCAGGGGTGCCTGGCGCGCGTGGCGCACCTCTCCCCAGCGTCGCGCACATTCCGTCGGTTTGGGTTCCAAGTAGCTGTCCATCCAAAGACGACCGCTGACCATGTTTGCTGAGGCTCGGGTGTTACTTATGTGGTGGGAGGGCCTTTGGGAGTGAGCTAGACGGCTTGCTATCTAGGGGGTGTCTTGACCCCTCCCCCTACCCCCTCCCCTGGATCTGGACCCCGCGAGGGGTTAGAGCTTCCAAGATGGCCCAAGATGGCTCCAAAAGGGTCTCGCAGAGCCCAAAATGGCCTCCAAAATGGCTCAAGATAGTCGGAGAAGGCTCAACATAGCTTTCGACATATCTCCAGTAAACTCAAAGACGGTCCGAATACGGTTTCAAGTGCCCTTCGGGCCGCTAAAGGAAGCCCCCAAAGAAGCAGAAATGGTTCCTAAACCTAAAGAGCATCTATCTTGTTTGCCTTCTCGCATGTCCGCTTCCGATGGGCTCTTCAGGCCTCTAGATGGCCCCAAGACGGCCCAACAGCGCACCAAGAGGGGCCAAAGAGGAAAATGAGACAGCCCCAAGAGCACCCAAGAGTGGCTCAAGAGCGCCCCAAGACGCTATGTTTGAGCCTCCGAGGGGTGGGGGGGGGGGGGGGCTGAATTCAGGACCACCCTCTTCATGAGCAGTGGGGCCCAAAATTGCTCCAAGTGGCCTCCCAGAACCACCCACAGAGCCCCAAGAGGGCCCCTGGACCCCCCAAAGATCCTCAAGAGTCACCTGGTTTCCTACGGAATCCGTAGGATTCGGTACATCTGGGTTCCTCAGAAACCTGTAGGGTCCCTAACGTCTCCGATTGGATACTCAGAGGATCGAATTCGAGTTCCGA